ACTCAGGGCTGATTTCCTTCAGAATGGAGAGGTTTGATCTTCTTGCAGTCCATGGGACTCTCAAGAGTCTCCTCCAGCACCATAATTCAAAAGCATCAATTCTTTGGCGATCAGCCTTCTTGATGGTCCAGCTCTCACTTCCATACATCACTACTGGGAAAACCATGGCTTTAACTATACGGACCTTTGTTGGCAAGGTGATGTCTCTGCTTTTTAAGATGCTGTCTAGGTTTGCCATCGCCTTTCTCCCAAGGAGCAGGCGTCTTTTAATTTCGTGACTGCTGTCACCATCTGCAGTGATCATGGAGCCCAGGAAAGTAAAATCTCTCACTACCTCCATTTCTTCCCCTTCTATTTGCCAGGAGGTGATGGGACCAGTGGCCATGATCTTTTTTTGATGTTGTGCTTCAGACCATATTTTGTGCTCTCCTCTTTCACCCTCATTAAAAGGTTCTTTAATTCCTCCTCACTTTCTGCCATCAAGGTTGTGTCATCTGCATATCTGAGGTTGTTGATATTTTCTTCTGGCGATCTTAATTCCGACTTGGGATTCATCCAGCCCAGCCTTTCGCATGATGAATTCTGCATATAAGTTAAATAAGCAGGGAGACAATATACAGCCTTGCCGTACTCCTTTCCCAATTTTGAACCAATCAGTTGTCCCATATCCAGTTCTAACTGTAGCTTCTTGTCCCACATAGAGATTTCTCAGGAGACAGATGAGGTGATCAGGCACTCCCATTTCTTTAAGAACTTGCCATAGTTTGCTGTGGTCGACACAGTCAAAGGCTTTTGCATAGTCAATGAAGCAGAAGTAGATGTCTTTCTGGAACTCTCTAGCTTTCTCCATAATCCAGCGCATGTTTGCAATTTGGTCTCTGGTTCCTCTGCCTCTTCTAAATTCAGCTTGCACTTCTGGGAGTTCTCGGTCCACATACTGCTTAAGCTTGCCTTGTAGAATTTTAAGCATAACTTTGCTAGCGTGTGAAATGAGTGCAATTGTGCAGTAGTTAGAGCATTCTTTGGCACTTCCCTTCTTTGGGATTGGGATGTAGACTGATCTTCTCCAATCCTCTGGCCACTGCTGAGTTTTCCAAATTTGCTGGCATATTGAATGTAGCACCTTAACAGCATCATCTTTTAAAATTTTAAATAGTTCAGCTGGAATATCATCACTTCCACTGGCCTTGTTATTAGCAATGCTTTCTAAGGCCCATTTGACTTCACTTTCCAGGATGTCTGGCTCAAGGTCAGCAACCACACTACCTGGGGTATACGAGACATCCATTTCTTTCTGGTATAGTTCCTCTGTATATTCTTGCCACCTCTTCCTGATGTCTTCTGCTTCTGTTAGGTCCTTTCCACTTTTGTCTTTTATTATGGAAATCTTTGTACAAAATGTTCCTTTCATATCTCCAGTTTTCTTGAACAGATCTCTGGTTTTTCCCATTCTATTGTTTTCCTCTATTTCTTTGCATTGCTCGTTTAAGAAGGCTTTCTTGTCTCTCCTTGCTATTTTTTGGAAATCTGCATTCAATTTCCTGTATCTTTCACTATCTCCCTCGCATTTTGCTTGCCTTCTCTCCCCTGCTATTTGTAAGGTCTCGTTGGACAGCCACTTTGCTTTCTTGCATTTCCTTTTCATTGGGATGGTTTTAGTTGCTGCCTCTTGTATAATGTTACGAGCCTCCATCCATAGTTCTTCAGGCACTCTGTCCACCAAATCTAAATCCTTAAACCTGTTCCTCATTTCCACTGTGATTTGACTTAGATAGATAAGGGATTTGACTTAGATTGTATCTTACCGGCCCAGTGGTTTTTCCTACGTTCTTCAGTTTAAGCTTGAATTTTGCTATAAGAAGCTGATGATCTGAGCCACAGTCAGCTCCAGGTCTTGTTTTTGCTGACTGTATAGAGCTTCTCCATTAGTCAGTAAGACTTGATTTATATCATTTTTTTACCGAAAGGTTCAACCTTGCTGGCATCCTCTTAATATTTACAACCAGATGAAGATTTCATTTTTGGAATAATAAATTTTCAGAGTAGTTTTTACAGTTATATCAAAAATTACTCATTTGGTTATACTATTAGAAATACATAGACAGATAATTATGAAATTATTGTTTATATTTGGACAATTTTTCTGCTGTACTTTATTGGAAGGGGAAAAAATAATCATTTCCTTAATAACAACTTAAACAATTTATTTAACTAAAACAATAACATTATAGCATATGTATCCATGTTTGTTAACCGATGTGGTTAAACGATTATTATTTTTTTAACTTAGACTGAGTTTTAGCGCACATTAAAAACTTAAAACAAATCCTTATTTTCTGATGAATATCCTTTGGACTATAATGTAACTTAAATAGGAAATATCTATCTTAGAATAGATAGATAAGATAAAATATCTTAGAAAGATTTTTCCTCCAAAAGCATTTTATTTTAAAAATCTGATTTAAATAAAAAAACTTATTTAAATAAAAAAACTGATGTAATTTTTTTTATTTTTAAAAAAATCTTTGATTTTTATCCACCCTGGCTCCAACTGACATGGTTTTGTACCACACTGGGCCCTCTATGCGAGTAGCTACAGCTACTAAGAGAAAGTTGAGATAGCATCATAGTTAACTCTTTACATTTCACCTTATGAATCCCATTCTGCATTAGTTGGGTTCTCCATAGACTGAGGCCCAGTGCTGGGAGCTAAATTTCATTGTGCTCCCCCCTCCCCAACTGCAGTTTGTCCCCCTGAAACTGCTATTTGCCTCACTGGTGAAAAAGTACAGGTGTCATTAATTTACTTTTATAGGGCAAATAGCAGCACTGTAGGAAATTTAACTGGGAAATGACATTGGGAGGGGGGAGAGATACCGTAATCCTCCTCCTCACCACCGCAACTTGACCCCCCTGACTACTTTGATCTTTAAACTTATGCATCCCCACACCTCATCTAGTTTGTCCCTAAGACAGTAAAAAAGAGAGAGGAAGAAAATACACAGAATAAATTCATCATCATTTATGGCAAAGTATAATGTGCCACCTCTTTACTTTGAAAAACTTTCCAGTACAACAAATCACTGTGTCTGACAACTTTTTAATTCTGAAATACTTCATAGTATCCTTCCTAAGTGTTTTATTTTAAATAGTAACATCTTAAAAGGGGACTCATAATAAGCTTCTCTGGGTTTTGGATTTTATCCCTTAATTGAAAGGAAGACCTCATAACTCAAAGGGTGATGAAGCCACAAGAGAGTTATGAAGGTTTTCCACACTGGAAGGATTAGTCCTTATTCCACAGATGCCCATTATAGAATAGTTGCTCTCTGTTTATACTGCAATGAGGTAAAAAAGCATTTTTATTAGATTAAAATGTCAGAGTTCAATATAAATATCTTAGTCAGAGAGGCATAAAGAACTACTGCTTTGTGTTGTCATAAAGCATTCTGGCAAAACCATAGTTAATGGAAGACTGTTAGATGAAAGAATGTTTTTCTGAGCATTCATAGCTTCTGATAACTTTCACTTTCTGTATATACATATATTCTTTTTAAAAAATGGTTTAAAAGAAGACTTAAAGCACAAATTCACACGTGCCAAAAAGCATGGAAATTGTAAATTAAGGCACTTCTTCCTATCATGCAAGCACTAAATACGTTCTGAGGTCTTGCATGCTCCCACACTTTCCCTTAGTCTCTCAAGCCCTTTCGGTTCCACCCACAGGCCGGGGGAACACTAAAATTCAGGACATTAAAGGTGGCATTTCAAATAGACCTTCTACTTTTCCTAGATACTTTCAGTTTGGTGGAGGAGAATGTCTATGTTAGTAGTGATGGTATGTAAATGATGGCAACTGTTAGAAAAGTCACTTGGATAATGTAGACAGAGTCCAAAGAGAAAAGAAACTTGAGAACCGTTCACTGATAAAAACCTCAATGACCACCACCACCACGGTGCATAATTTGAAGAGAAAAGAACAGAGAGCTTTTGTGTTTTTTTAGGTAAGGCCTTGTGCATAGCAGGGAGACACTCAACAGAACATATAGAGGAAAAATTCCCTCAGAACGATACCGACAATCAGAGCACATTCTACTTCAGAGAGGATCTTTCTACTGGTTGCTAAGCAGCACCTGCAGCAGACTTCCTCTTGGCCAGTTGATTTAACACTAACTGCAGAATTAGCCTCTGAAGTTACAAACTGAATGCTGCTGTTGCACTTCCAACAGGAACAAGGCTGATACATGCAGATGGACATTGTTTCATCATGATGTGACATACACATCAGCAAGAGAAAGGAAGGGTAATCCCAGCGTCTATGACCAATACAGACAAGCAAGGAATTCAGTTATTTGAAGGGGAATCTACCAAATTCAGACTTTTCAAAACAATGTGTAAACCGAAACACAGCCATTGTTTGAAACATGAAATTCATCAAATTTTGCAATGTTGTTCTCCAGCCAAATAATGTGTACAAAAATGCACATACTGGTGTAAAGTGTGTGCAAAAATGTATATATTGGTGGAAACAACATATAACAATCTGTATATTAGTCAAATTTGTGTACAAAAATGTGTTTATTAGGGTATATACCTGGCTTAGGTCCAAGCTGTCTGAAAGACCATCTTCCCACATACAAACCTGTCTGGTTTTTGAGATCTTCAGGGGAGGCCCTTCTCTCAGTCCTGCCCCCCTCACGGGCACCCGGAGTGGGGCTGTGGGAGAGGGCCTTTTGGGTGGTGGCTGCTGCCAGGCAACTTTGGAACTCCCTGCCTAGAGAAGGTAGACTGGCTCCCTCCTTGCTGTCATTCTGCTGGCAAGTGAAGACTTTTCTGTTCCATCAGGCTTTGGGGGATATGACTAATTAAATTTAACTAAAGGGCTGATGGCATGCTGTTTTTATTGTAATTTTTGATATGCTTCAAACATAATTTAAGTAAGTATATAGTTTTAATTCTATCAATTGTATTTTAATTATTGATTTTTCTTTTCTTTTTTTAGCAGCTGTTGCTTTTATCTGTAAGCTGTATTAAGTCCCATTAGGGAAAAGGGCAGGGTATAAATAAACATATAACAACAGCAACAAGAACAAATTCACACTAAAATGTTGCCAAATTTTCATAAGTATTTCTAAGGACCAAATATGCATCACATTGCATTGTACAAACAGATCAGCTCTGTTTAAAATGAATGAATTAAAAGTTGTGACCATATGTCCAGTTGGCAGGACATATTTTTGTAGCAGCACCCGGGTTGTGGGATTCTCTTGCCCATAAAAATTGGATGACTCCATTAAATCCAACGCCTCACTCTCCCAAAGCCTCTTTGTCTTGCAAGACATTTGGCTTCTTTAGAGATGCTACAGATTTACTTTCCAAAGCCTACAAGATCCTCTCAGTGATTCATGGATGCACGTCACATGCAGATGACTTCAGATGCAAATGAAGTAATAACTTTGGGCGTAATTTCTTTCAGACGTGAGTGATGCAGCTCCCTGTCAAACATTTCACTTCCACTGGTCTTTGTTGACAGTTTAAGAGTTACCAGACCAAACTAGGAGTAGGCTGTTCTGCCTTATCATCATACTTGCTGCAATATGTTTCCTTGACTCACAAATTCAAACTGCTTTTGCTTAAAGAATGGGATTTTTTTTAATTGTTCTGGCATCTGTCTGTTCAACTCATAGCTCACCACGACAGATCCTTCTCTGACATTAATTTCTGTTTTAACTATTTCTGTTCTGCACCTTTACCATGGCTCTTTCCTTTTCAGCTTAATAGATCTACAGTACTCTGATACACGGAACATCATGTTTCTGGTAGAAAGGGGCTTTCTCCCACACACCAGGTTCGACTTGAGGTGTTATTGGTTACATCTATTCAGGAGTCATCTAAAAAGCTCTCATGTGGTCTATTATTTTCATATGTTAAAAAATCCCCTTGGAATTATAACTTTGTGGCTGTGTTAACCTTTGGTGCTCCCACATCACAAACTCCCAAACCATGGGACCACCTTGATTTATTGCATACTACTTAACTCCCCCCCCCAAAAAAAAACACCCCTCCTTCTTTATTTCAAGCTATTTCATGTGCACTTCATACTCCAAATAACTCTGATTACTTCTTCAAATTTGCCCCAGATGATCAGCTATCTCTGATTTGAGTTCTCCATGATATGTGTTTCTCCACTTCCACCCCCAGGTGCTAGATGACTCAATATCAACTGCAATCATCAGACCTCTTTGGTCTATTGCAGAAAGCAATAGTGACAGGCAAAGTGGCAAAGTGGCATTTTATATTCTTTAAGGAAACATTCTGGGTGAAACTAGATGCAAAGCAGCCCAAACCAGATCAGAGCTTAGCCAGTCTTTTCAGTTTTTATTCCACTTTCATTGCTGGTGAGCTGCCCCTCTCTTTGATGTGCTTTCAATTGCTCCCTGTATGCTAGGAATTTGACAGTGGCAGGCAATGCTTCCAGCAGCTGTGCAAATTCCAGCATGAGGGATCCATCAGATACGCATTTCAGTTAATAAATGCCCCTTGCAGCAGGTATGAGCTGGTCGAGAACCCTCATCAAGGGACTGATTCATGGGCCTCCATTCATTTTCTTCTTTTGTATTTTTTTCAATTACAGTCCAATAATAACCTCATTATAACAATACCAATTTATAATACAATTATTAATACCAATAGTTCAAATACCAAATTATATAATTTAGATAAAGTGCCCCCCCCCCCGCGTGCTAGATTTGATGGTTTGATGATTTTCTTTATTTCTGCATTCCAAAATCTTATTAATTTCCAGTACATTCCGGTCATAATAATAATCCCTTATACAACAACTGCAATATTAATAACTTCTATTCGTGTTGACACATTAAATGATTTATAAATCTGCAAGTGAGAAACTCAAACTATATCCTTGTTCTTCCTGGGTGTAGCAATTATTCTGTCTGTGGTGTTTCTTCCAGTGCTTGTAAGATGTTACGTCTTTCTTCCCCCCAATTGTTGCTGTTATCCATCATGCCTCCATCCTGTGCTTCATTGTTTTGCAACTTTAACAACAACTGCAAAAGTCACTCTGTCCCACTAAATAACCTGTTTTCACTATTTTTCCTCTCAGCCTGGGAAGAAGAGTGGTCTGTTGAACTGCAGAAGACTCAATAAAGAACCTTATCAGTTCCTTAGCAGTTCACAGATTCCTTTCATCCTTCCTTCCAACTGAAGATATATGAGCAATTATACTTCCAATTAAATTAAATTCCAAGTCCTCTTAGCATTATTAAGTTCACTTTGTAAATAATAAAGGATGGGGAAAAGTTGGCTCTAAGTTTCCATTGTGAACCCTTTGCAAAATAAAGCTTCCTTCCCTTTTTCCTTTTTTTACATGCACAGCGTCTTCCCTACCAGGTTTTTATCGGGTAGCAGGCGAGCTGCCTCATGTTGGATCCTTGCCTAATGCCTTAGCTACTATTTCCTGTAATCAATAAAGTTGTGGCCTAATTCAACCCAATACCAGTCTCCTGTGTCCGTTCTTGTGGCCCTCCCTTTACCTGCCGTGGCCATGATGCGACTGTGGTGGTAATGGATTCTGATTTTCAGGGAAACTAAGCAGAGTAAAATTGGGGGAATATTTTGAAGTGTTTGTGGAGGATTTGATGTGGGCATCAGCCTGGAACAAACTACTTAATGCAAATTGAAACAAATAAATGTGTCCTGTTTGGCTAGGTGGTCAAAGCTCAACGAAAGATTGCAGCATGATATACTGCGCAGTGTTAAAAGTAGCAAAACTTCAAATACTCCACTCTGTAGAATAAAAGTCCATTATTTAATGTGATTGCTTCAGAGTTAGCAGTCTAAGTCTCTTTGGACTCTCAGCTTTCCCATTTTGATTAGGATTCGGATAAAAAATGATTTAATTAAGGAAAGCCAAGATTCCTAATTCTGTTCCTCTTATGAAAAAATAAACCCTTTAGTACTTTGATCCTTGACCTGTATTCATACAATAATTTCCACATCATATTTCTGCACAGAGCTCTCTAAGGAGAATCAGGTTTATGCTCTCCCCAACAAAAAACCGTAGTGGCATTTAATTATATGATAAATTATGTAGTATTTAATATGAACTTTTGACACTTGTTGAAGTAAGGAAAGAGAAATGCGTGTATAGTATCACCAGAGCACATGAAGTAACACTGCTTAGGCTGTGGTTAGGGTTTTTAAAATATTTCTAAAGGTACCAGTATTTTTGAACTTATTGTCACTGAATTTCCAGTAGCTGCGATGCTTTTGCCGTGTGCCTAGAGCCAGTTGTTTCATATTCCAACTCTAATCAACCAGTCCCAACAATCAGTGTTTCACTGTTTAACAGCTTAGTAGTGAAGCCAATATAGGGTAAATATTCTGTATGGTGTGTGCCCTTTGAAATGTCTCAGAATTACACACAGTGGTCCTGCTCACCCCAAATTTCTTTTTAAAAAAATAGTAATATTTTATTCTTTTTCTATATTGAAAGTTACATTTGTTACTCAGCAGTTATATTCCAAGGAGCATAGTTCTTAAAACTGCTGCTAATAGGAATGAAATCCAATATGTATTTCATTGGAGACTGCCAATTAGAGCTTCATTACATTCTACGAACATTAAGAAATGTGCTTTATTTCAATTGAAGTTTCAGCGGCAGCTAATTCTGATGTTAAAATACTGAGGATTTATAGGTTGAAAAAATATTTATAGTTCAAATTCCTGGATACTTTTCATTCTTTTCCTTTATGCTGGCTTTCTGTTAACATTTCAAATTCATTAATAAAGGTTACAAAATACTCATCCCTACGATATTCCATTAGTACTTCATTTGTAAAAATAAGAATAAAAATCTCTGAGGACACTAACAGTAAACAGTGCATTGAATAATGACAAATATGTTAGATTTTGTAGTATATGGGGGCAAGGAGGTATCTATTTTGAAGCTCTGTAAGACACCACATAAAACAACTACAGCAGCAGCGCAAGCTGAAATGTGAAGCACACCTGTAGCAGGTACCATCAAAGCAGTCCCTTTACAAGTGTGTTTCCCACTGTTTAAGGGAATCACAAACAATTGAAGAGTGAATGCCATCCAGCCTATACATTCACACACACAAACACATGCACACAATTTAACCCCTGAGCAGTGCAACAGCCATAAACAACAGCCAGAAGTCAGTGCTTTTTTTGTCCCTTCATTGGCATACATCTTGGTTTCTGTACAACTGTTACCACCACAGCCTAATGTGGCATTATAACAATATAAAGAAATTAAACTCCCCATTTGGGGAGGTCTCCCCTCCGAATACCTTTATGTGTGGGTTAGGTAAAGTTTTTCATCTGGTCAAATATTAAATGGACTTGAGGTCTCAGCATTGCTGGTAGGTAGTAAATAGTTAATTGTTCCCCCTTTTATAGCCAGAATTATTCATTACATTTGGCTATAAAAGCATAACAATCTCTGTCAGCTTCCATTTACAATTCAATTGCTTCTTTTCCCTAAAGCCCTTTAAAGTGCACAATACTCAAGCACCTGTATTTTAGTAATGTTGGAGGGAAACAGGGGAGAACGTATGTCCAGAGCAAGCCAGAGTTCAATGTATCAAGTTCACATGCTGTGTAAAATTAGCACTTGTGGGCTCATTGCTAGTTGGAACAGGAAAATCAACCACTTATGGCAGCTGGGAGGCTGCTGCCATAAGGCAAACGTTCCACCCTGTAATGCTGCGGGTTTTGCTGATGGAAAAAAATGGGGAAAGATTTGGCAGATCCTTTCCCCTCTGTTTGTGCACCCATGCCATAAAATTTGTACATAATAGAGCTGAAAGAGAACATTTATTCCAACTTGGCTGGAAAGAGATGATAATGGAGTGTTGGAGGTAGTGATGGAAGTGAAATTTAGATCTGAACGGCCTGTGAAATCGACTCCCCAACATCTCCTAGAAATATTTTGTGAGCTGTTTCCCAGGCTCCCCTGCAGCATTTCTGAGCATGCTTGGAATAAATTTCCAGCTTCTAAGCTCTAGCAATGAGGTCTTGGATACTTGTGAAAGCATTCTATGTGAATCCTTCTTGTTGGTGGCCCTCACTGTCTTTGGAAAAGAGAGCTGCTCTGGGTCAGGTAACCTTGCTGAACTTCCTCTGGAACACTGCAGAACCCCCCCCCCCCGAGAATTCACTGTGAAATCAAGGGGGAGGGGAGAAAAACTAATTATGGAGCCGGTGGAAGTGGTATGCTTGTGATGTGCAAACTCATCCTGCTCTCATCTCCATTATTTGTGGTTTTCAGCCTTTTTCCAGTGTTTCAAAGACTTGCAAAGTGTGTTTGACAAGCGAGAGTGTACACTATGGGCAACTTTGCCACCACCATATCACCATCAATTCTCTTTTAAAAGTATTAAAATCTTTTGTGGGATTGTTCATGCCCAACATCCCTAACACTTTGTCTCAATCAAAGACCACAGAAGTTCTCCATATTAAGAAAGACAAGCAAAATGACAACCAACTAGATATTGACTTGAGGAAATGTATGAACCTAGAAGAAAGAGTGCTAGTTCACACACAAATGTTCATCTCTTGCTAACAACAACATTAATTGCATGTGTGAGTCGGACACTACAAACACCTCCTCTTGCAGAGGCATAAGGAAAGGGATGGATCTCAGCAGTAGAAGGAAACCAATTCACATATAATGTGCACATGTTTTTTAAAAAATCATTGTGTGTCAAGGACCCGCCACCCGCATGGAGATAAGAAAGACACAAGGACACATGTATTTAGTGTTAATGGGCTAAATAAGGGCACAACTTTATTGGTTACAGCATGTGAGAGGTATTGGCTTAGGCATTGGATCAAACAAACTATACATGACTCCACCCCACAGAGCGGGGGGGGTGTCAATTGAGGGTTAACAGCCAATGGGAGAAGCTTGTTGATGCAAATACAACTGAAAGCTTCCCCAGACCTCACCGGGGGTCGTGCCATGGCCCTAGCCAGCAGGGCATCGGACAGGATCCACGACCGCCAGATTCCTTTAACGGAATACCCAAACAAGGGGAGGAGTAGGCGATGGCCACAACCTGCCCTCCAACACACTGCACATATTCCAATGCCTAACTGCCAATACCTGATAAGTTGTGACGATTTGCTTTGAGGTAGGCGAAAACCAAGAGGCTGGTGCCAATTTGCCAAATGGATAGAATTCCTACCAGGCCCCCTGGGCAACCAAGGCAACCAACCAAAGTCCATAGCAAGGTCAAAAAACACAGAATTGACCTAATGGGAGGGAGGGTGGTTGATCCGAAGGAAGCAGGAAGCAGAATGGGGCTCCAGCGCTGTGGCGGCCGTTTAAGCACGGCTAAACTCTGCTGATGCGGGAGTCAGTTCCCGCACACAACTCCTCCCCTCTGGGAGGAGGAGAGGTCTTCTAGAGAACTTAGATGAGAAGCATTCATAGCAAGCATCCATGCCAAGATGAGGACTGATGAGAAAGCTCTGACATTCCTAGTTACTGGTTCCTTGTCTAGGCACAAATAGAAGCCCAGCTTCTTAGTGTGTCTCAGGTCTGAGCCATCCAGTGGCTTCATATGTGTGAAGCTACTGGTAGTACGATTCAGTTCTCTTCTATACCACATAGTTTCAACAAGTCCTAGCCTCAGTTGGATGGAGGGTGAGATAAACTATGCCGAATTACAACACATTTTTTGCAGGCAAAGCATCCCTGTCTCCTTTTGACTCTTGCAATCTTTTCCTCTTTAATCATTTGTTTTTATAACAACAAAAAGAGAATGGCTGTGGTGCTACTGATACAATCCACTCAAAGTCACTCATGACCAAGTTGTCTGATCCACCACCAGTGTTCTAGACTGACCCCTTTGGCTTATGAAAAAGTACTACGGTGTCACGTGTACCTTATACCAGTGACAGATCACAGGCTGTTTCAGGTAGCAAGAGCATCCAGATTTATTCCATTGCTACACCCAACAGCTGACAAAATAAGCAGTGTTCAGATGAACAGCCTCCTGTGTCGATGGAGGAATGAGATCACATCTAGTGACTACACCAGCCATACTCGTGACTGCACAGGGTACTGGCACACACACCAGGTGTGCCCCCCACCAGCCTTGCCTGCAGCCAGCATGTGTGAAGCAGCTCTAGAAGCATACCAGCCTTCACATACAGTACCTCTATGTAAGGACTGCTGTTGGACCGACTGGGATTCCCCTCATGTTGAATGCTGCTTCTCACACTGGTCCAATTCATGCCTGGAGAGAATGGCTTGCGTGTGCCGCCCTACTCATGCATGTTCCTATGGACACCCATAACTTGGATCTGCTTCAAAATCACCAATAAGTGTTGAAAAATGTCTCCATTTCTTTAGATCTCTGAAATCAGGAAAATGTCTCTGAAACAAAAAAAGGTCTCCATTTCTATAGCTCTCCTCCCAACCAAATTATACTATTGTAAAGACTACAAAATAGTAATTCTACATGACATTTTTATTACCTGCTTAACATGTCAAGTGAAACATTTTATTGGATTTGGTGTTATTTAAACACTTACCCTGTACTCTTCAGTCCCATGATTTCAAATGTGTATTCTGGCTATATTAAGCAAACATTGAAGATAGAGCTGGAGTATGTGTTGGTTCTTTCCGTTTTAAGTGTTTAATCTGTAATAAACATTCAGTATGCTGGAAATGCAGTTCATATATATTATTTTATGTCTTAAATACTGAGTGTATTTTTTAATTCCCTTACTTTGGTTGGTCAGGCTTTCCATTACAAACTTTCAATTTTCAGTTTTTAACTTTCCCTCATGAAAAAAGTCTTGGCATATAATTTACTTGCCCAGAAGTAGTTGAATGTTAAGAAAAGATTGTTTCACCTTCCCACCCATTTTTCCTTTGCAGATTAGAAAAGGAAAGCTTAACAGTCTGTATATACATTAAAAATGAATTATGAGGAATTGTTTAATTTTAGGCAGAGAAGTACAACTGACATTTCAAAAGGAGGAACTGGCCCCAATATATTGAGGGTCACATTTGCTAAAGAAGGTTCATTAGTATAAGGCAAAGTCAGAGCAAAGTCTAAGAGTTTAGAACGTATGGTTTGGCCCAAAATTTGGTCCCTCAGAAAACTGCCCCCGCCTCAGTACAAAGCACCCACTAACCATTGGGATTTTTTCAAAAAATCATTTAACAGAAGTGACTAAAATTTGCAGGCATGCTAAGCCCCTAAAGAATGAATAAAGCCAAATTATAGATGAATAGGTTCAGGAAATTAAGCAATAGTGCTAGTGTATAAAACACATAAAAGAACAAATGGCATAGTTACAGCACAAAACCTTTTAAATAAAAGGCTTTAGTCAGGTTGACAGTAGAAAAGAAGGCTGTCTAGGAAGCCTGAATTCTTTACTGGCAAAGCCTGGACTTTAGTATCATCTACCCCAGTGCCGTCTACCCCAGAAACCAACTGGAGAATCCTGGGCCAAATTCTTCCCCAAGATCTATCATCTCCTTCCTGGTTTCCAGAGTATATAGAGATGGAATCATACCTGGCCCAGAGAAGTAATAATAGGGGCTTTGTCTTCTTCCTTGTTTCTTCCCACAAGGTGCTGCTCATCTGCTCATGGCTCAGAAATATGTCAGAGGCCTGTTACTTGAGATCCTGCCAGAGAATGAATGAAATTTTACATATTTTACATAATGAACAGATCTGCATGCAAATATTTGCACAGACAGCTTAATTTTTTTAAATTTTATATGATAGGGTTTTGGTTATATATATTTTTCTGTGCCATCTGTCTATAATGCCATCTTTCAGCCTCACTCTTGTTTTTTACCATTGCTTTCTGCTCAGTCTCCTCTTCTTTCATTGTAGCTTTAAAGGCCACCCAATTAAAAATGAATCATGCAAGTACAGCTTTCAAAACATGCAGGGAGAAATGACAGATCAGCAGCTGGTGGGAGGTAGTGGCAGTAATTTCACAGTCTAATTTCAGACTTTTGATCTATGTACTCATGTAGGGGGTGAAACTTGCAAGGCCTCCTCAAAGGTACAGTCTGAAACCATATTTTATTTAATGCTGGTTCAATATCATTTCCTTGCATTGCAAACACAAGTTTGGCATCTTATTGTTTTACATAATCTAATGTTGTACTACATACACACACACACACACACACACACACACACACACATATGCACAAAATTTTTAAAGCTTACATGGCATATATTACAAAACAATGACCTAACTCCCTCGTTTGAAATATGCTTTAATTCAGTTAAAATTATATGCATCGTTTTGTAGTCAAAGTTTTAGAGATACAGAAAAAGCATCTGATGAGTTCCACATTTCTATATCTGCTTTTTTATTGGTATGTTAAATATTTCTGTGGAAGATATACTAGAGGGGAGGTAAAATAGTAGGTTTCCGTGACCATTTTACAGGGACAAATATCCAACAGCTGTTTATTTCCCTGAAGTTCTGATAGAATCTAAACCAGGAAAAACTGGAAATATGGCATGGGTGTGCAAAAAATGGACACAAGCACATGAAGACTCCACTTCAGGGATTGTTGTTGTTGTTGTTAAGTGCTGAATCTCTGCTGTTCTTTCTTTATGTAGCTTTATAGCTTTCACTCTGCAGAGCCTTTGCCCATGCTTGTCTTGCTGCCTCTAGCAACGCCCCAACCCACCTGCTTTGTACGTTTAACATGAAGGTGTGAAGGGGGTTCTAAATGTGCTTGCTTGAATCTTCTTATAAACATCTTTGAATCATGACGAGGGCTTGAAAGTGAGATTGTAAAATTATAAAGAAATATTGGGAAATGATTTATAATGAAAGGAAGAAGATGTTTAAAATAACCTTTGTTAAAAAACCCAGAAGCTTTTCCTATTAGGCATTAAAGGAGCGGACATACCAAAATCACAAAACAACTTGTTTATGTATGCAACTATGGCTGCACAAACATTACTAGCACAACACTGGAAAGAAGGAGTCCCAGCTAAAGAAGATTGGTAAGTTAAACTAATGGAATATGCTGAAATGGCAAAACTGACAATGAAACTAAGAGGAAGAGACGACAACAAATTCAAGGAAGAATGGAAGGTGTTTTTTGGCATATTTACAGAAGCATTGCAGAATTACTTGTAAGTTTGTTATGACTGGATAATAAGTAATTTAAATAAAATTGTAAACTGAGCAATGACATGCAGGGCATTGATAAATAATGGAACCAAGGAAGACACTAGAGGGAAGTCAATCTGTTTTGTTTTGTTTTGTTGTTTTTATTTTTTGTTATCTTTGGAAAATTAGTAAACTGTTATTTAAAAAAAATAAAAAAGAATGTGTTTTCAGGCAGTCACACTTCTCAGTTCTTCTCTGGCCTTTATGCTATACGGTGGTACCTGGGTTACATACGCTTCAGGTTACAGACTCCCCTAACCCAGAAATAGTACCTCGGGTTAAGAACTTTGCTTCAGGATGAGAACAGAAATCGTGCTCTGGCGGCGCAGCAGCAGCAGGAGGCCCGATTAGCTAAAATGGTGCTTCAGGTTAAGAACAGTTTCAGGTTAAGAACGGACCTCCGAAATGAATTAAGTGGATCCGGGTCAGCTGGAGCCCGCGAACCCTCATTTTTTGCCCGAATGTGTCCTGGTGGAATGCCTGAAGCATGCCTGGTTTCCAGCTGCTCCTGGCTCTGTTACATTAATCCCTGCTGAGCTGGGATTGGGTTGGGTTGGGTGAAGCTGCCTTCCAGCTTCCCAGATGCATTTGGCCGCTGGCTACTGCTGGAAGCAGAATTTGGGGCCAAACAGACCACCATCCTGATCTTCTTACATACTTATCATGGAAATCACGAAGCAACGTATGAAGGCCAAGCAAATTGTGTCTCGTTGTGACATTGCCGACAACAGGCCCACAGATTCCCAATGTGCTTGTGAGGGTTATCAAGGAGGTACTCTTGCAAAGAGGAAATAACACAAAATGTATATCCAAGAAAGGACCTCTTCTCACATTATTTGACGCAGTGGAGAGGTAAAGCTTGCAAATGATTAGGCTTCACATTTTGTAACGATTTGTAACAAAATCCTTGTTTATGAAAAGTCCGGCCTTTGGTGGTTAAACCATTACTAATTCTTTGCAAGCCACAATTATAGTTCGGGCAAGAACAACATTGACTCCCGTCCTACAGACTTACATATTGATGTTTTTGTGGAGAAAATAGATATTTAACAGCAAAATATTCCCCTTTTCCTCATTCATTTTTTACATCTCTGAGGCCTGTTACTGAAGCATGTCTAATGGCTGGAGTCTGAGGAGATGAGGTGTTGAATTTCATGAAACACAAATATTTGCTTTTATGCTTCCCTGGAAAAAATGCACCAAACTGTTTTCGGTGTGAAACATTTAGGAAACCGACGGAAATTTAGAAGGGATGTGTAGGGTAATAAGGGCCTCTTAGAGAATCATGTTGTGTTCTTTAACTTTCTGTTTGATAAACAAATAACGTACTATTTTTGGACATGGTTCCAAACTGTGAATTTTTTTAATGTATTAACAATGTATAAAATAAATGATGTATTAGGGTATGCCAGCTTCCAAAATGCAAGTTGTGTTAAAAACCTGCCAGGAGCACTCTCTGTTCCTGCTTCTCATATTCCCCCAGTGGCTCTTTGTTCAGTTGAGAACTTGATCTTCAAAAGATGCCACATGTATTGCTACATGTAGGCACAACATGTCTTAAGAACTGTTGGTTTCATAGAGAGAGTGTGCATGTTTGTGTGTATCATATCATGATGGTTAGAGACAATATTTATTTTTCTTGGAGTTCTTTTCCTGAGGGCTGGTTTGTACTTCCCAACCACAGGCCCATGAAGACATGGGCGACTTCAGAACAGAATTTGGAAGCTCTGCTTTTATTATCAAGGAAATGTAGTAGAGATGAATGTGCCTACATTATGGGGGTCTATAGATAAAGTAGTATAAAATTGATATATATTTCCTCGGTAGACAAGTCCACTGCCAGCTTG